AATGTTTTTTACCATAGATTAGTTTTCCCTGTTTCAGAACTTCATATAAATGGGATGATCAATTAGGAACCATTTTGTTTCTGGCTTCTTTCACTCAGATAATGTTTCTGAGATTTCTTCATGTTGTGTGTAACAATAATCCTTTCCTTTTTTAGCTGAGTGGAATTCCATTGTGTGGATATAGCGAAGTTTGTTTATCCACACAGCTGTTGGTGAATACAGGCTTTTCCCATGTTTGGTTATAATGAAGCTGCTATAAACATTTTTGGGTAAATCTCTATGGACATATATTTTCTTTCTTTTAAATAAATATATAAGAGTGGAATTTCTGGGTTATTGGGAAAAGTGTGTTTAACTTTTTAAGAAACTGCCAGATCTTTTTCCAAAACGATTGTATCATTTTACGTTTTCACCAAAAATGTAAGAGATTTCCAGTTGATAATTCAGTGTTGTCAGACTTGTAAAATTTAGCTGTCCTGAGGAGTAGATAGTGTGATCTTACTGTGTTTGTAACTTACATTTTCCTGATGACTAATCATGCTAAGCACTTTTTCGTTTGCTTATTGGTCATTTGTGAAGTGTTTGTACAAATCTTTTGTCCACTATTTTACATTGGATTGTTTCTCTTTTTATTCTTGAGTTCTAATGTGTAAGATTTGATTGAAGAAAAAATTTCATAATTTAAAAGCATTTGAAAATCACTAACCCATATAAACCACTTTGATAGTATCACTTCTCTTCTTCTTTTTTTTCCATCTGATTTTCCTGGCACTCTTTCCCTCCCAAATTCATGGACCCAGGCTGATGAACATTTCTAGCTGTACAGTCACTCCTCCAATGCTCTGTGTGTGTTGGCCACACTTCACCCTCTGTTATGGACTGAATGTTTGCATCCCTGCCAAAGTTCATATGTTGAAGCCCTAACATCCAGTGTGACTGGATATGTAGAGAGGGCATTTACAGAAGTAATTAAGGTAAAATGAGGTCATAAGTGTGGGACCCTGATCCAATAGGATTAGTGTCCTTATAAGAAGAGACACCAATGAGCTCACTCCCTCTCCTCATGCGCACTGACACTGAGGAAAGGCTAGATAGGAACTTTCTATGTGCTCAATATAAGGGGTCCACAAGCCAGCGGGAGAGCCCACACCAGAAGCCAAATTGACTGTCACCTTGATATTAAACTTCCCAGCCTGCAGAACCATGAGAAATAAATAGCTGTTGTTTAAGCCACCCAACATGTGGATTTTTTTTATGGCAGCCCTACCAGACTAAGACAGCATCCCATTGCAGTGTTCTAGCACTGAATACTATGTCACCAAGTCTTGGTGATGCCTATGAGACTATATTATCATCATGTAGATCTTTGTCCAAAATTCAAGTTCCATTTGTTAGAGTCTAATGTCATGTCTTCTTCTTAACCCTTTTCCTTGTTCTCCTTTCCTATGAGTTACTAGATCTCTCTTCCAGGCATTTTTCAATCCATGACAAACGTAAGTCCTTATATATGCAGTTTTACAGTTTAAAATCTCAGTGTGAGTATTAGTCCCCTGATAATCACATTGTTTCCAGCATCTGTAAGATAGACTCTCCTTTGGGCTTCCCTGGTGGCGCAGTGGTTGAGAGTCTACCTGCGGATGCAGGGGACACGGGTTCGTGCCCTGGTCTGGGAAGATCCCACATGCCGCGGAGCGGCTGGGCCCGTGAGCCATGGCCACTGAGCCTGTGCGTCCAGAGCCTGTGCTCCACAACGGGAGAGGCCACAGCAGTGAGAGGCCCGTGTACTGAAAAAAAAAAAAAAGAGATAGACTCTCCTTTGTCAGAGCCCACCCATTTGTCCAGTACCTTCAACCACATCCCAGAAAACCTGATGCTGTCCTTTAACTCCATCTGTATAGCTAGCCGATTGCTTTCCATAGCCTCCCTTCCTTTCCAATGCTGTTCCCCTTCACTCTATCAGAGAGGTTAAGATACCACCATGTCGTTTACATTTTTTATTTTATTTTTTTTAACATCTTTATTGGAGTATAATTACTTTACAATGGTGTGTTAGTCTCTGCTTTATAACAAAGTGGATCAGCTATACATATACATATATCCCTATATCTCCTCCTTCTTGCATCTCCCACCCTCCCTATCCCACCCCTCTAGGTGGTCACAAAGCACCGAGCTGATCTCCCTGTGCTATGCGGCTACTTCCCACTAGCTATCTGTTTTACATTTGGTAGTGTATATATGTCCATGCCACTCTCTCACTTCGTCCCAGCCCACCCTTCCCACTCCCCATGTCCTCAAGTCCATTCTCTACTTTTACGTCTTTATTCCTATCCTGACCCTAGGTTCTTCAGCACCATATTTTTCTTTTTTTTTAGATTCCATATATATGTGTTAGCATACGGTATTTGTTTCTCTCTTTCTGACTTACTTCACTCTATATGACAGACCCTAGGTCCATCCACCTCACTACAAATAACTCAATTTCGTTTCTTTTTATGGCTGAGTAATATCCCATTGTATATATGTGCCACATCTTCTTGATCCATTCATCTGTCGATGGACACTTAGGTTGCTTCCATGTCCTGGCTGTTGTAAATAGAGCTGCAGTGAACATAGTGGTACATGACTCTTTTTGAATTATGGTTTTCTCAGGGTATGTGCCCAGTAGTGGGATTGCTGGGTCGTATGGTAGCTCTATTTTTAGTTTTTTAAGGAACCTCCATACTGTTCTCCATAGTGGCTGTATCAGTTTACATTCCCATACATTTTAAAAATCCACCCTCAAGTTGTTAAGTTGCCTTCTCAGAATGTCAAAGTCTCTAGAGAGTGGTTCTTCAGAGAAGAACCTTGTACGTAAAATTTTACAGACAGAGAAACTATATGTAAAATGTTGTGAACGTGGGGAAAGGGTACATAAGCTTTCATCAGATTCTCAGGAATTTCTCACCTAAAAGCAGTTAACAACCAGCACTCTGGAGACATATTCTAGATTCTCTTTTCTTTCATGACCCAATGGAAGAGGAAGGTTGTGGTAGTGAGTCCTGATGGGTGTTACAAAAATGCATAGTTTGGTGTGATGACCCAGAAAGACAGCTCATCTGACCTGCTGTGCCAGGTCTCCAGGAGACTCCGTCCATAGGCCCTCAGGGAACCACCAAACACCCTGCTCCTGGGGGAGCAGCTAGCTTCCTGGAACCTTCTAGTAACTGTGAATTCCCATTATTGTTCTGTGGAGCAGTGATCTTGTTTCCTATTCTGAGAATCTTGAATCATCTTTGTTAAACAGCTTCCGTGACTTAGACCCTTTTCCTCTTTCTCTTTCTCCTGTGTGGCACTTTCTTTTGCCCTGCTACCTAACTCTGATCACTTTAGAATATTTTTAACTTCGTATTTTTCTTTTGGGTTTCTTCTGTCCTGTCTAGACGTAGGAGTATAGAGAGGCATTATCTCAAGCTCTTTCACTTTCTCCTCTTCTCAAGAGACCAGCTTACATTTGTAGTTGATAAAATGGGTCAGTTCCCGCTTCCAGGAGGAAGACCAGCAGGACACGTGGCTGTAGCCACTCTGACCGTCCTCTTTGTTTCCATGCCTTCTGGATCTCACGTGGTCACACAGTTGTTTCCCTTGGAAATCCTTACTTTGCTCTGCCTATTCTCTAGCAAGTAGTGGCTCTGGAGGGCTTCCTAGAAATGCTGCCTGCCTGCTGGCTCCCCTAATCTTTCTAGACTTAGTACTCTGCCGAGGGGTGGGCACTTCCACTCTGCTGTCAGCTAGGGGTCAGCCAGATACGCAGAGATCTTGACCAAGAGTATTTCAAAGTCACGCACTCTCCTGCCTCTGTCTCCTGCCACGCCTCTGGGCTGGTTTCAGGTTTCCCAGCATGCCCGTCCAAAACCGTCTGGAAGCCTCTTGTCAATGATTGAATAAAGTTTTCATCTGAGACACCAGTGGCCCTCGCGTGACCTCAGAAAGTGCATGCAGCTTCCCACGTTGCATAAGGTATTCCCTGGGAGTCACTGAGAGGATAGAAAAACTCTGCCTCTCTCAGTGGCTCCTGCTGGAGCTGTTTTTGCCAGGTTGTGGCTCGTGTGTCAAAAATGGAAGCTGGTCTCTGGTGCCAGCATGGGCTTCTCACCGCTTGTCAGGTCTGCACTGGGGTGAGCAGCTGAAGGATGAGCAACCCTCATCCTTCCCCACTGGGGTGGTGTGACCTGGGCGCCACTCTGAAGAGCTTTCAGTAGTGACTGATAAACTGGGTTCCGTTTACTTGGTTATGTTTGTTTAAAAAGGAGCTTACTTTGTTTTTTTGGTGTTTTTTAAGGTGCCATGTCAACTCGTTTATTAATTGGATTTTTCAGTTCATGTCTTTATTTTGAGGGGGGTTGATGTTGTTTGTTTTTTCCTTTTTCTTTGAGCTTACTTTGTTTTAACATCAATTACTTGAGTGTTTTTAGTGTTAGGAATTGTTTCCAGTGTCTGTGGCAGAAACTGTTGAGTTCGTTTTAAACCTTAACTTGCTGCCCCAGGATCATAAGAAGGCCCTTGCTCTTCTGTCACAGCCTGGGCTGTGGTACAAAACCCACTGTGGGGGATGACCAGGGAGACATTTCTGATCTTTAATTTCAACCAGACTTGCCATCAGGAGTTTGCACTAGAGACCTATGGAGAATGCACATTTGATACTTGAGAGGAGCAGAAACAAGCTTTTTATACTTTCTTAGGCTCCTTCCAGAAATAGGTTCTGTAGCTTGCATTTTATTCATTCCCTCACAGACTATCTGTTGAGGACCTACGAGGCAGGAAATGCTCTAGGGAAGAAAGAGAGCTAATCCCTGCCCTCACGGAGCTTACACTCTAGAAAAATATAGGGAAATTACTACTTACATGAATCGTTTCCTTTGTATCCAGTGGAAACTACTCTAGAGAGTAACAGGGATGAAATAGTCCAGAAACAGGAATAATGAGACTCCCAGTGGGGTCATCGCCACTTTCTGGCTTTGCAGGGCCAGCACGCGAGATTCAAGAGGTACGTGGGGCACAGTGCCCACGTCACCAACGTGAGATGGCTGCACAACGACTCTGTGCTGCTCACGGTGGGCGGTGCCGACACAGCCCTGATGATCTGGACGAGGGAGTTTGTGGGGACCCAGGAGAGCAAGCTGGCGGACAGTGAGGAGTCGGACACTGACGCGGAGGAGGATGGAGGTGAGCCCAGTGGCTGGCGCCGGCCACGCCTTCCTCCACACCTGCTCCCGCACCACCGCAAACCAACTCTGCTCCCTTCCCGTGTCTTTCTGTTTGAGGCTATGACAGTGACGTTGCTAGAGAAAAGGCCGTCGATTATACCACCAAGATCTGTGCTGTGAGCATCAGGGAGATGGAAGGCACCAAACCACACCAGCAGATGAAAGAAGTTTCAGTGGAAGAAAGGTATGGTGTTGCCAGGTTTGCTTGCATTTATTACACTTGACAAGAAACTCGTTGAAAGCAGAGTGCATTTTCTTTGCACTCAAAGTTGCTACTTAAGCTAGTCTTTATTTATGTGTATGCACAGAGTCTTAACCTGCACACAGGCTTAAGCTGAGGGAAACTGCCCACAGCCTTTAATGTGAGGAGAGGGCGGGTTACACTTTGCAGAAGTTGTTTATGGAAAATGACTTGATTAGACATGAGATTTAGTTAGGCCAGGCTTCCCTTTGCCCAGAGAGGATGTCAGGGCAGCCCAAACCTGTCCTGAATGTGATGGCTGATGGGGGAGCATGCTGACTGGGGAGGTGGGGGGAAGGCAGACTTCTAAGGTCTAGGAGGAGTATCTGTGGATTGTGAGAAATAATCTTCCATTCTGCCCAGAGTCTGTGCATTACACCGTATCACTTGGTGTGCCTTCTCTTATGTGTCTTCACCTGCCTAGATGTGTTCAGGCGTGTCTGACCATTCCAGGCCTAACCAATTTGATTTTGTTGCTGTGGATCCTCTGTGTAGAAAGGGTTTCCGGTATGATTTTGGTGTGCTTTCTGATGTGCTACTGTAAGTATTGATGAAACACTTTAGCATTTCTAAAAAACAAACAAAATCTCATAATTACTACAATTACTTGATTTACCATATTCATACTAAGGAGGATAAATATTGAATAAAAACTCTAACATCCAAAGAGAACTTCATGGATCTCAAAGATGTTTAAGAATTCTCTGTGGGCTCTTTCCACTGACATGGGTTCAGTGTTCACATGTACCCTGGTCCCATGATGTATAATTAATGCGGTTCAAGTTGTTTTTTGCATTCAGCATGGCTTTCTGCCTAATAAGTATTTACTAAATCTAATCTATCACCTTTTACTATTAGGTGGAAATTTAAATACAAAGAAATAAAATGTCATTTCTCCTCCTGCTTCAGTTTAGTGCCAGATGTTAAAATAACATAAAATAAATGGTGGGTGTGCTACAGGCAAGAAGATTGAATTGATGCAAAAAACCCAAAAAACCCTAATTCTTCCCTAGCATCTTTGTTAAATGTTACTATGAGGGTTCAGAGTTCTCTTTTAATAAAAAAAAAAAGATTTTTCTGCAGTAGTCTGTAAGTTATAGTTTATTTTTGCTTGCGACATGGTGTTTTAGTGGCCACAAAGAGGAAATATTTTTAAAGGAACTAATTCTAAGAATAAAGAAAGAAAATTTTTTAAAAATCATATGCACCTAAGTACATGAATAAGCTTCCCACTTAAATAATCCACTCTAAAATAAACATTTGGCCTAAATTACACATTCTTTTGAAAAAAAAATACCCAACCTTTCCAGTTCCACATAACATTATGAAATGAGTTGACTTGGCTATTATTCCAAGGTTGTTTCTGGCTGCTTGCTACAATGCAGTGATTCATCATGCTGAGATTTAGACTGGCCACTAAGATATAGAAATCTAATCACATTCCTAAATCCAAACACTGCAGCTAGTTTCTAACCTAAAATAAGGTTCACCTGAACCTCTGTTGGTCTTGATGTCTCTTTGGGCAGGTCTGTAAAAATCTCATACCTGCCCAATTTAGGAAGAGGTAAGAAACGTGAAGATAGAGAGGACCCTAAGAATTTTCAGTCTTAAAATCCAGAATTTTGAAGCTCCCTCATTTTCTTCATCACACAAGGTCATCATAGATTAGCATACACAGGATTGACTTTTTTTTAATATGAAAGAAAAAATGCTTCATAGTGTTATGACGTACAGGGGTAGGCATTTCACCACTTTACTGGCATTTAAAAAAATAATTCACACCAGGGTGTGTGAGTAAAACATGCAGTGAAGAATACAGTTTTAAGATATAAATACAGGGTCCAAAGGAATAGTCAAGCCTTTTCTATACATAGCAATGTCTTCGATAACTTAAAGAAGCCTTGACAGCATCAGTTCCCAGAGGGGACTGTAACCATAGAGCAGGATGCCAGCTGCACAGCATGCTGGGAGCTAAGCAGGACCACACCAGGAATGGGCGAGGGGAGAAGGAGTAGTAAGTGGTGTCTGAGTTAGCAGCCTCCATGGTCATGAGTCAGTTCCTAATCAGAACTGAAAACAAGCAGTTTCCTCCAATCCTTGTCAGTAATTTTAGGGAAGCTTGAACCTCAGAGATAGGACTGTAGGCAGCTTCCAACCTGCAAAAGAAAGGGGTGCCAGGCGAGGCAGACATTCAGAGAATTTGTGAGAAATCAGGATGAGAGAGGGAACGTGGGGCAGGGCCAAGCCCTTGGGGTAGGGGGGACTCCAAACAATAAGTCAGGCAGACAGCTTCCCTGAGTCCTCCACCTGGAGCGCAAAATGGGCTCCACAGACTCCAGCATGCCAGGCATGAGAGAGAGGCAGATGCTCAGCATCTCAGACGTCAGGTGCAGGGGGCCAGGCATCAAACACCCAGGTTCTCCCTGGGAATATTCGGGACTGTCAACCTTGACACTGCTCCCTTTGACTACTTCAAGCCCTACTGACCAGGGACTGTCCTTGACCTTCCCTTCATTGTTCCCTTCTGTGTATACCTGCAGATACCTGGGTGCCTGTTCTATGTACCTGTGCCGAGGCATGCACCAATAAGACTAACGGGAGACAAATACTTGAGGACCACAGGAGATATGAGCTTGGGACACCCACTCAGTGCAGGGACTTATTTTGCCTCCTACCAATGTTTCAGGCAGTTCTACTTCTGGTTTAAATCCCTTTCCACCTTAGAACCTGTGAGATGAGTGTGGCATCTGTCATATTGAGAACAGTGCCTTGAAGGCAGCTGCACATTATGTATCAATCAGTTTTTAAGCAACTGAATCCCTACTTCCTAAAATTTATGATAGTCATAGATTGTTTCTAATTAGACTCATTTGATTTTTAAGTAGCTGGAAGGCTTTTGATTACGCTTTTTTGTATAATTCTAACACACTGTGAGTTCTTATTCTTCAGAAGCCATACGATCTTCAGTTTCAGTCTTTCAACAGGTGGGAAAGTTGAGAGAAATGTGTAATTGCTCTCAAAAGAATACTAGGCTACACCTACCAATATGCAGTCCCTTCCAGGTGCTTACCGAGCATGCTGGTCCCCCACTTCAGCTTTGCTTTAGCACGCCAGACTGTCTTGCTCCTTGACCCAGCCACACCTGTCCAGCTAGCACCTAGCCTTGTGTGAACTCTTGGGTCATCCTGGCGCTCAGCAGCCATCTGTGGCATTTATGTGGCTGAGGAAGGTCAGGAAGTCTTTTCCATCGTCAGGAATCCATGCTTCCAGAACCTCGTCTAGTGCTCAGAATGCACGCTCATCTTTGGTGTTCCTGTCCCAAGCAGGGAATCTGGTCTCTATTGAGTGCGCATTAGTTTGTTCCCCATAACTACTAGAGATTGCTTAAATTATTGTAGACCTGAAATAGAAAAAAGTAGGCTCAAAAAGTCATAAGGTTATATGGATATTTTAAACGTAACTTTTTTTTGCTTTGTTTGAATAGGAGCTTTTTCCTGTCTTTGCACCATGTTATATATTGTATTTCTAAAGACTGCATTGGATACTCTTATCTAAAACTTCAGAAATCTTTCTTTTCTGGTTTCGATTCTTGGCTCAGGCTCCCCTAGACTTGGCTTCAAAGAATATATAAATATAAGACAACTAATATCTTAGATAGAATTTCATAAAAGTGGTAGACAGTGAAAGGAATAACCTAAGTCTTTCACACTTGGCCTAAACTCTGTGTCAGTTGTGACCCCAGCAAGAAAGAAAGATACTCTGAAAAGGAAGTAATTTGGGGAGAGCTTAATGAAGGGACTGTTAGCAAAGGTGTGGGCAGGATTAAAAGAAACAATAGGGGGGCTTCCCTGGTGGCACAGTTGTTAAGAATCCGCCTGCCCATGCAGCGGACACGGGTTCGAGCCCTGGTCCAGGAAGATCCCACATGCCGCGGAGCAACTAAGCCCATGCACCACAACTACTGAGCCCACATGCCACAGCTCCTGAAGCCTGTGTGCCTAGAGCCCGTGCTCTGCAACAAGAGAAGCCACTGCAATGAGAAGCCCTTGCACTGCAACAAAGACTAGCCCCTGCTCACCGCATCTAGAGAAAGCCCACATGCAGCAATGAAGACCCAACACAGCCAAAAGATCAAATAATAAAATAAATTTAAAAAAAAGAAAAGAAACAATAGGGATGGGGTAGCACCTTGGGGATAGTAAGTCATTACCATCCCAGGGACAGAAGGGGCAAGTGCAGGAAGCTCTTGCCAGACGTGGAGAAGGTAGCTGTGGGAGCAATCCACCTTACAGGAGCTGAGACCTGACGGGGAGGGTTGAAGGTAACTAACGTGAGTCCCAGCAAGGAGGTACTGAAGGAATAGATGCCTCGATTGCATTCTCCTCTCACTCACTAATCTTCTACTGGTGCCTCTCTTTAGCTGAATCCAGTCAGAATCTGAAGGGGCAAGACAGTCCATTGAAAGAGTCCACAACAGCCCAGCCATGGAGGGCACAGAACAGGAGAGAAGGGTGGAGGGTAGATTTTGGAAGGGCACATGGAAAATATCGGCTCATTCTTAAATTTTTTTCCTAATGGAAACTGGTGTTATTATCACAGAAGAGAACTTCAGGCCATTTTAATATTGAACAGTAATTACTATCCTTTATAAATGCCTTTGAATATGTAAAGGTGTTTATTACCTAATATTATAACTGTATATATACAATCAAAGATGCCAGTAAATACAGCCAAATCAATATCAAGAATTATTAGAGACACTTAAAACTTTACCTGATTTAAGTGGGACAGTCTTGATGAGCTATAGTTTTTACACCATTGTCTAGGAGTGCCTCAAGAATCAACTCATAAAAGATGAGAATTATAAAATCAGTATTTTATAAAATCAGTATTTTGTAGTCACATTGCATTTTTATATTCCACAGTATCTTTTTTTGCATTAT